TTTCCAAGGCTGTAATCTTTACGGAAGCAGATTGCCACATCTTTCTCCCTCAGCGTGGAGTGGCTGGTGGGCCTGAACTGCCAGCTTTCGGTTAGCAGCCCAGCTCGCTTAGCCACTGCATCACCAGGGCTCTTTCCACTTTTAGCCTAGGGAGACTTATTTTGGCCTTCTGACCAGCAGAACTGTAAAATCATAATTTGCAGTGTTTTATGCTACTAATTTTATGGTAATTTCTTATAGCAGTGACAGTAGCATTAAGAAACTAATACAGCACCTAAACCAGAAAGTCTCTCCTGAATTGTAGTTTGGCCCAAGCACTCCTTCCTGTGTACAGCATTCATAATGAAGTTAACTATTTATATGCCTACTCTCTTCCTTCCTGTGCCGCCCCCTCTCTCCTGTCCATCAACTACTTCCATGAGGACAGGTACTATGTCCTGTTAATCTTTCTATTCCCAGCTCTAGAAAAGAGTCTAGTTATTTATTAGGCTAAACTGTTAATTAACCTATTGACTGCTAGAAGAACAAACAAATCTGTCTTGGAAAAAGTACAGCTAGAATGCTCCGTAGAGGCAAGGATGGCGAGACTTCGTCTCACATATTCTGGACATATTACTAGGAGGGACCACTCCCCAGAAAATGACATCATGCTTAGTAGAAGGTCATCGAAAAAGAGGAAGACCCTCAAGGAAATGGATTGACACAGAGGCTGCAACAATGGGCTCAAACACAGCAACGACTGTGTGAGGATGGCACAGGACCCGGCAGTGTTTTCCTTCTGTTGTTCATTGGGTCGCTATGAGTCAGAACTGACTCCAAGGGGCCTAACAACAACAATTAACCTGTCAGAATCAAACCTCTGATTCCTGGTGTTCATCTTGTTCTGCTAGTCAGTTGTTTTTGCTAACATTTCCCATGTGACATGCCAGGAATTTCTAATTTGCTCTAGAAAGTAAACAGATTATACAGTTATTTGGGATCAGTTTTCTCTACTAGCTCTTAAATGTTTGAATACTTTCAGGTACTCTTTTGCCAGGGTGGAGGCTTTTTTTTGGGTAAGACGTTACAAATGTATTATCTTATCAAGATGGTCTGTGAATCACCAACTTCAAAACTATAAAGCGTTTTTTAAGTTCTTTCTTCCAGGCTCTATTCCATACATGCTGAATCAGATTGCTAACGGTAGAGTACAGGAAACTAGGAAACAGTTTAACAAATTCCTTGGCACATTCAGGTTTGACATAACTCATTTGCCTCTAAATAACTGGTTGTTGTTGGATGCGGGCAAGTCAATTCCAATTCCTTAAGACAGAGTAGAACTGCTCCATAGGGTTTTCTTGGTATAACCTTTACGCAAGCAGATCACCAGGTCTTGGTGAGTTCAAACCGCAAACCTTTCAGTTAGCCGCCAGACGCTGAACCTTTGCACCACAAAATCAAACCTGTTGCTGCGGAGTCCATTCCATCCCTTAAAAAAAACAAAAAACAAAAAAAAAAACTGTTGCCGTAGAGTCGATTCCGGCTCATAGTGAGCGACCCTATAGGACAGAGTTGAACTGCCCCACAGAGTTTCCAAGGAGCTCCTGGTGGATTCGAAATGCCGACCTTTTTTGGTTAGCAGCAGTATCACTTAACCACTACGCCACCAAGGCTTCCAGCGACCATACAAGACTCCTTGAATAACTGGTAGAGTCCAGCTGCCGATCTTTTTGGTTAGCAGATGAGCTCTTAACCACTGTGCCACCAGGGCTCCTAAATAACTGGTAGGAATAAATAAATGGTAGAAAAAACACTATTTGTCTTTCACAAGGAGTCGCCGTGAGTCGGAATCCACTTTTGGCAACTGGTTAACTGGTTTTACATTCTGAGCTCCAGCTCCTTGGGGGCCGTCCCGTCTCTGTACCCTTAGCCACCCCTCACAGTGAGAAGCTTCTGGGCCCGGAGTGAGGGAGAACTTGGAGAAGGTGGTTTCTCCTGGATCAGGATCCCATTCCCAACCCGGATCACACAAGCCAAGGGCGCTGAGTCGGGGCAGATGCTCCTGGACAGGTCACCCCCGCACTCCAGCTTCTCCATGCGGACTCCGGGAAGCGACAGCAGATCCGATGTAAAATGAGGAGCCAAGCCCGAGAAAAGCAGCGACGAAAAAATTGAAGCACTCCCTAAAGTCAGCTCGCGCCCAGGCCGGTACAGCGGGGACACGCCCATCCAGCCACTAGCAAGCTGGGAGCCCTGCCTGCCCGCCAGCGCTGAAATTCGATTGGTCCCTCCTGGCTCCAGCTCCTCCTCTTGACCTCACCTACACTGCGGCGACGGACGCTTGAGAGCGGTGCACCGCGCTCCGCAGGAAGTACTTCCCTCGGCGGAAGCTTCTGAGTGCAATACAGCGGAAGTGTCTGCTTTTCCGTTCTCTTTGGTCTCGGCCGCAGAAGGGAGATGGTGAGTTGTTTGCATGGGTTGTTTGAATCGTCTTCCATCCTTCTTTTTTGTGCCGCCCTACTTGCTATCCGTAAGGGACTGGCAAAGTCCCGCATAAGGGAAGCGGGTGGAGAGGAAGGGAGCATGCTAGGGTCCCCAAAAGTCGAAGGAATGGCTCCTAGCTGTATCCTGGAGGACCGAACGCGCAGTGGTGGAGTTGGTGCTGGTCTAAGTCCCATGCTCCGATGTGCCTTTTGGGGAGTCCTCAGAGCCAAGCCCTCGGATGAGCGCTGAGGGAAGAAGAGTGGTTTGGAAGTATTTGGCTCGGCGTACGAGCAAAGGACTTCATTGTTGGCCGTGCCTGGCGGGAGCCCTTAAGCTTTGGAGTAGGTGGTAAAATTACGTTTTTTCGCCTTATGTGCCCCTTTCGCTCCAGTATTAACAAATAGCAGATTTCAAAACAGCTACTCCTGCAGAAGTCTTTAGGTAACCTTAAGTGCATTTACGAGAAGTTAAAAACAGTTATTAAATGCATTTAAAGCTTATCAGTAGTTGCTTTTCCTGAAACGACGTGATATGTATAGAAATCTGCGAGATGCAGAATTTTTTGTTTATCCCCTTAATTTGCAGACGAAGGGAACGTCATCGTTTGGAAAGCGTCGCAATAAGACGCACACGTTGTGCCGCCGCTGTGGCTCTAAGGCCTACCACCTTCAGAAGTCGACCTGTGGCAAATGTGGCTATCCTGCCAAGCGCAAGAGAAAGTGTAAGTTGAATGTTTTTCCTGCTGACCGTTATTCTTAATCTTGAGATTAAGAATAATGATTTGCAGTGTATCTGAGTGGGACATGACTTTTTTTGGTGCGTAATAATAAAACTTTTGTATGTGTATGGGATAAATCAAAGCACCTTTAAGTATTTTGAGTATCATAGCATACAAGGTTGTGGGGAAACCACTTGGAATTTTACCTGCATTTATGTTCTAGATAATTGGAGTGCCAAGGCTAAAAGACGAAATACCACTGGTACTGGTCGAATGAGACATCTAAAAATTGTGTATCGCAGATTCAGGTACGGTTTATATGTTTTCGGTAATACTTGGTTCTGTGAGTTTGGGTAAGAATCCTCACATTTACTTGGTGTAAAATAAGGCTATTACCCTGGTGATTAGTGGGGGGTGAGTTATTGGAAGGTAAAAATCTTCTGGTAAACAATACTACGAGTTATGTTAAATGCCTAGAGTATGGTTTGAAGTAGATTTCTGAAAACGTGATGTTTACTAGTAATAATCACATCTCATTTTGATTCATACCAAGGATAATAGCATGTGGATGAGGTCTGGAGTCAGGATTACCTGGTTTGATTTTGTAAAATGGGAATAAAATCCTCATAAGTTGGTTTTGGAGCCCTAGGTGTACAATGGTTAAGAGCTTGGCTGTTAACCAAACGGTAGGCAGTTCGAATCCACCAGCTGCTCTTTGGAAACCATATAGGGTAGTTCTGCTCTGTTCTGTAGGGTTGCTGTGAGTCGGAATTGACTCAGTGGCGATGGGTTTTTTTTGTTTAAGTTGGTTTGGGGATTTTGTAGGATAATTTATATAATGCACATAACAGTAGCTAAAAGCTGTCATAATTGGTATTGCGTTTTTGCAGAAGGACAAACCTGTTACTCAAAGTATGGGGTCTTCAGAGCTTGTTACAAATGAAAAATCTCTGCCCCACCGAAGACTTAAACTGAGAATCTGTATTAAAGTTTTAAACTGCATAGGGATTAATCCATTTGTCATAGCTGAGATTGAAAATGATGCAGACCTCACTTTAAAGCCTGTGCACCTTCCACTATGTTCTATTTCAGTGATTCTAAACCTTCCTGCTCTTCATATTTTGGACCAGATAACTTACCAGGGGCTGCTCTGTGCATTGTAGGATGTTTAGCAAAACTCCTGACCTCTACGCACTAGGTGCCAGAGTTTCTAATTTGAAGAGATGGCAAGGCAATTTGTAGCTTTGTAAACACTCTTGGTTGTGTGTTCGTGTGCTGAGGTGGTGACCTTTTTTTTTATACTTAACCGCCATTGTACAGTAGTGAAGATTTGGTGTTGAGTAATATGCTTATATAGGAGTTCAAAGCATGAACTGAAGCCAGGCTTAACTTATTGAGCCTCAATTCACTAATCTGTAAAAGAGGGATAACAGTAGTTACAAAATTAAAATGTAAAGCTCTTAGTAAGCTACATAGAAAATATCTGTCATTGCACATTGTTACTTTGGTTAAGGGAAAGTAAGGATTTCTCCTTCGTGGCATAGGAAGACATTTTTACAAATACTTTGGGTCTTTCTTGACAAGCAGTGAAGAAACACCCAGTGATCAGTACGACCAAATAAACTGTTGAGCTTTTATTACAATTGTAGTGGACTATATCTCTGAAATGGATGGGTTCAAGCAGGAGGAAGTAAATACAATTATACTAGCGGCTTATCAGTGATGTTGTAAAAATAAATGTCTGAACATATGAATACGATATTGATTTCAGCATTTGACTGAGATAAGCTTATTAAATTCTGTTTAATAACAAAATGGATGTATTAACATTGCTAAAGTAATTGTTGTTTTTAACATGGTGCAGGCATGGATTCCGTGAAGGAACAACACCTAAACCCAAGAGGGCAGCTGTTGCAGCATCCAGTTCATCTTAAGGAGATCAACGCTTAGTTGTGCAATAAATGTTCTGGTATTAAAAATACATCTGGTGTTTTAAGATATTTTTAGTCAGTTAAACTGTAGTATCAGTGAATTACAATTGGTTTGGTGAATGAGGCAACTTAAATTTACTTGAACTCAGTTGTGACGGTTCTTAAGGGAAGACTTCTTCCTAAACACAGTGCTCTGAAATTTTCTATCATGCCTTCCTTAGTACTGGTGGTTTATTGGCAAACAGTTTTTTTGAAATGAGACAAGACCAGTTTAGTTGGACTGCTAAGTAAGGGGACAAGGAAGATTAAAAGGAACACAGATGTTGAAACTGCCACCATAAAAGTAACAGAAAACTGCCCTATCTAACTCATAGCTTTTCGTTGCATTTAGCATAAGATCTGACGACCTTAACCTGAGCACTCCTGATCTCCCGTGCATCACCAACCTTTCTTTACTGTAGCCTAGAATATTTTCCCAAGATACTGGCTAATTCTTGCCCTCATCCTGCTTTTTCTTTTTTACCTCTTAAGTCATCCTTCACATCTAAGCTTTTGTATTTGGCTTACATTTCACTTGCATAGAAGCCCCTGGTGATTTGCAGATCTGTTTTGGGCTTCCTCGTGAGACTTTGTGCTCTCTACTTTAAGGATGTATGGTTAAGGGCATGGATTCTGGAGTCCAGTTGCCTGGGTGCAAATTCCAATTACCATTTGTTAGTGTGATGTTAACTTTTTTGTGCCTGTGTTCACTTGTAAACTGAAGGGGGGCTAATAACTGGCCCATGGGCTTGTGAGAACTAAATGAGCAAAGTCTATAGGTCAGTAAGTGAAGGTGCTTTTACAGTGGCCATACCTAAAGTTAGTAATATTTAGGTTCAAGTTGATGAAATTGCTAGCTTCTAACCTACAAAAACAGCAACTTAATGTTTATCTTGGCCTAACAGAATTGGAAGTCTGACTTGTTAGTAAGATCTTTCTAGCCTAATCTTCCAGTGTTTCTAATAATTAATCCTGAGCGATTGCGGGGCCCAGTATGATAGGTAGCACCCAATACAGGATAAATGTTAGATATTGAGGTAAGTGGGCATTGACCTGAAGACCTTTGGAATTGTTGAATCCTGTGCCAAGAGGAAAAATCAACTGGCACAAGAGGGAGAGATGATGTGATGAGCATTTTAAGTCCAGACTAATGGAGAGTTATAAACTGGATACCTTTTAGGAAAGGGGTCTTGTTCAGCATTTTTCCCTTGCCTATTCCAGGGTAGCCATCAGGAGGAAAAAATCAAGAAGGGCCTGTGTGGGTTAAGAGACCCTGGGTAGTGCTAACAGTTAAGGCCACCAGCTTTCAAGGCCATCCAGAGGTGCCTGGGAAGAAAAAAGCCTTTGACTATCTACTTGTGAAAAATTAGCCATTGAAAACCTTATTTTTTTTTTTTTTTTTTTTTTTTTTGGTGTGGGGTAATGCATTTAGAATAGGATACGAGCAAGTGGAAGGATTGCACTTGAATCCTAATTTACTTAATGCTCATGTCTTGGCTGTGGTGGTTCTGATGATGTGGCTCTGAGGATCACCGTTGAGGTTTGGGTAATGGTTCCCAATCGCATAAAAGATCTCTAAGGAGTTTGAAGTTTAGCTTGAAGGCAGTGATGAATGATTGGTTTCAAGCACAGGAGTGGAGCTGTTAAAAGTTTAACAAGGTTAATATGGAAGGTGTTGGTGTGGATGTGATGAGAATTGAAACTGGAAAACCAGTCAACAGGTTTTTAATGTAAAAATCATGATGGCCTGGACCAGTAAGGTAATGGCAGTGGGGCTGTAGGAAGGAGGTCTCTACCGGGAACATCTTGTAAAAAATGGCATGGGGGCAGCAACTGACTATAAGGAGGAAGGAGAATCTGGATCAACAGCCCAAGGCTGATTCCTATAGGGCAGACGTCAGACTTACATCCTCTCACCAGCCCTTTTTACCAATTCTGCCGGCAACCGTCCCTTCATGGCACTCTACTTCTCTGTTGAGTTCAGTAATTCATTGCATTGGCCACACACAACTCTTAACGATTATGGGGTTTATTAGGGAAGCAACAGGTTATAATCAGGTGCAGGAATGCTCAGGATACAGTTCTTCCATCAGGAGAGCCTCTTAGCAATGCCTGCAGGCACACCTCTTGACTTCACTCACTCTCACCCCCCATCCAGTCCGTCCGTCAGTCTTGGTGGTGGTGATGAGATAACGGCTCTGGGATGGCTCATTTTAAGCCTACTGGAGTGACAGAACTGACCTTCAGACAATCCCTTCATTACATTTCCATATACCTTATTTGAATAGTCCCACTCAGTCATTGTCTGAGTCACAAAGATTGGCTAGAAGGGCCATATTAAGCAATTCATTGCACCATACATCCAAAACTTGAATCAAAATAGTTTGCAAGCCCCTGTTTACTTCTCTAGGTGGTTATGAGGGTTTGTGTTAGACTCGTGGCAACCCTGTGTACAAAAGAAAATGTTAAATCTGGTCTTAAACACCATCTTCATGATCATTGGTATGCTCGCATCCATTATTGCAGCCAGTGTATTTTGAGTGCCTTCCAACCTCACTATGTATGGATGAGCTGGGGGTCACATTCCAGCACTATATTGGACAATATTCAATTGTAGTCCATAGGGTTTTCATTGGCTAATTTTCAGAAGTAAATCTCCAGGCCTTTCTTCCTAGTCTTGGTCTGGAAGCTCTGCTGAAACATGTCGACCATGGTTGACCTTGCTGGTATTTGAAATACCAGTGGCATAGCTTCTAGTATAGCAACATGCAAACCACCACAGTGCAACAAACTGACCGATGATGAGAGAATTACATGAGACACAGCATCATGTCTATCAGCAAGCGCTAAACATAAATTCACGTAAAGGAGACAGGAGTTTTGAATGACTGGTTTCTGGCTACAGCAAGGAAGTGCTTGATGGCCTTACTGAGAGAATGGAGGCAATGAGGGGCTTTGTTTAGATGCATGTGGGCCGTCAGTTGATGTCTAAGAAACACTTGAGTAAACGGGTATAAAATTGGGACTGGGGATGTATGATTGGGATAAATATGAAACGGAACTGATTTGAAGGGTCACGGGGATGAAGATAATTTAAACATGACATACAAAATAATGGTGAGATCTGGTAGGCGTTTTCATCAGGAGAAAAAGATTCAGTTCATTGACTTGAGTCCTTGGTACCTTAACGGTTGGAACCATCTGAGAATATACAAAACTAAAAAGACAATTTAGAGAGGCTTGAAGAAAGATTTGGGGAGACCAATTAAGAGTGGTTCTATTCATTCCATGTAATAGGTCTAATGTGTCAGACCATGTTAGAGATTCAGTGGGAGCAAAAACACGTGGTTGCTGCTGTCTTGAAGTTGACAGTTAACTGAAGTGGTTGCAGAATTAGCCCAGGAACTAGGATAGATTTGAGTCACAAACCAACAAAAGAGATTTTTTGAGGGGCACTTCGAAATAAGTGGCTGAGACTAAAGAGAATGAAGATATAAAATAGATTTGGCAAAATTAGGTTAGTGTTTACCTTTCAGAGACCTCTTTCAAGTTTCAGTAGAGTACCAAGAAAGAAGCCAGTATGCTAGAGGTTCAGGGGAGATTGGCAATGAGAAATGGAAGGTAGAATTTAAAAAACAAAATGAGACACTTTTGGAAGGTTACCTAGATCTTTTATGCTTCCCAATTTTTATTGACAATAAAGAACCTTTTCATGAAGCAAGTATCTGTTTAGTAACCTATGTACCAAAAATAGTTCTAGGCTCGAGATAGAAGTGGAGAATAAGACAAAAGGACCCTGCTTTGACAGCATGCTGGGGGTGGGGGGGAGCTCAATGAACAAGTAAATGTCACAGTATTAAGTGCTGTGAATTCATATAATGAATGTGATAGACAGTCGGGAAGCCTTTAGAAAGGTGGTTTAGAAAGCTGAAATGATCCACCCAGGCAAAGACTCCAGAGAACAGAAATTCAGCAAACCAACTGTACTCAATTTTTTGAGTTCTAGGTTTCTTACAAAATTTAACTTTGGCTGTAATTGGTGGAAATTTTCGTTCGTAATATCAAATATTCATGTAAGAAAAGCGAAGTAATTGTTACAGGATTGTTTTGCTTAAGAATTGATTTCAGAGAACTTTTTCTTTCACATTAGTAAATGTGGATTATTTAGGAATCCCCCCATCTCCCCAAATAAAAGGTAGTTTGAGTCATCAAAGAGAAGCACAGGGTAGAAATTATCCATAACCTTAGAGACCAAGAATGGAAGTAGTAAAGGAAAAACTTCCTTGTATATTAAGTGTCTTACACTAGGTTCTCTAGAAGAGCAAAACCAGTGAAACATATATATAAATGTAGAGATTTAGTTCAAGAAAATGTATCACGCAGTTGTGGAGGCTGGCAAATCCCAAATCTGTGGGTCATGTATCAGGTTGGAGGCTTCTCCTGACTCAGGAGAGTCAGGTGGCAGGGTCTGGTGAACCCAAAATCGGCAGGTCAGATGGCAGGCTGCTGGCTCACATCCCAAGAACCGGGGGTCAGATGATAAGTCGGATGCAGGATCCAGAGGGAGAGTGAGGCTTGATGGAACATTCATTCATATACTGGCAGCAGGCCACACCCCCAAGGTAACTCCCATTTCAACTGATTGGCTGCTCATAGCAAATATCAGATCTCACCATGGAGGTGATTATATTACATTATGGAAGAGCAGTCAGTCCAGTGTCTGCCAAACCACTGAGAATCATAGCCTAGCCAAGTTGACATTTAACATAAACCATCACAGTCCACCCCTCGTCAACTTGGCATCTGTACACATCTCCTTAAATCATACATAATCTCTATAAATAAAGACAGTTATAAAGTCATACAGATAACATGATATAAATAGTCCATTTACATGTTTTATGAGTAATGGGAAAGGGAGGGAAGAAAACTATATATACACGTATAATAAAACAAGGAAGAAATATCCAACAATTCCAGTCCTTGTTTCTGCAAGTAGTCATGTGGTTGT